GGCCACCCACCACTGAAAAAAGAGCAGTCCAAGACTGAAAAACAACGGGAGTCCAAAACAGAGCCGAACCGAAAACGGCGCGAACGAGAATCCGAAAACATAATAAGAAGAAACAAGCGTACCACGAAGCGAAAAGACAACAACAACAACAACAACGACAACAACAACAGCAACAACAACAACAGCCACAACAACAACAACCACCACCACCACCACCACAACAACAACAACAACAACAACAACAACAACAACAACAACAACAACAACAACAATCATTTTACCCGAACGCTCAGTGTTCTCACCAGTGCCAGGGTTTTCATGCGACGCGAGACAATACCCCCACTTCGTGGGGGGGCAGTTCAAGCTCTACCAAATATCCAAACGACTCTTCGCGACCACCCAAACCCAGCTTCCCGCCCTATGACGTTGGGACACTTCACTTCGTGGCGTGCGGACGACCGTGGCTACTACACTGGCGTGGGGTACACACCCACAGAACTTGGTCACTTATTCGGGGCGCGCGTGTGCCCAGCATCCTGCAATTGTGACATACAATACATGACACAGACAGACAGAGAGAGAGACAGAGAGCAGACAGAGAGAGAGACAGAGAGAGCGGAGTTGGTCACATTTTTGGGGCAAGTTCCTGAGATCGTCGTGTTTTTTGTTGGTCTTGCGCGCGCGAATGTCCACTTTACTTTTTTTTTGCAAGGGAGTATTGAAATTTGATTATGTTAGAACAAGAAAAAGTAGCTCGCGCGAGCTCATGTAACATAAATGTTGAAAAACCATTGGTTTTGTGGGAGTCGGACAGCGCGCGCGGGATGAAATTTGGACATTTTTTTTTGAAAAACCATTGGGTTTTTGATGTTTTTATGTTGAAATCGTTACGAAACCTAAGGTTCTGGAAGGATTTCGTCTTGCGCGCGCGAATGTCCACTTTACCTTATTTTTTGCAAGGGATTATTGAAATTTGATTATGTTAGAACAAGAAAAAGTAGCTCGCGCGAGCTCATGTAACATAAATGTTGAAAAACCATTGGTTTTGTGGGATTCGGACAGCGCGCGCGGAAGGACATTTTGACAATTTTTTCTTAAAAAACCATTGGGTTTTTGATGTTTTTATGTTAAAATCGTTACGAAACCTAAGGTTTTGGAAGGATTTCGTCTTGCGCGCACGAATGTCCACTTTACCTTATTTTTTGCAAGGGATTCTTGCAATTTGATCAAGTAAGAACAAGAATTTTCATTTTATAGTGTTTTTTGCAAGGGAAAACGGATTACAACAAAACAACCGGATCCGGACACAATCCACTTTTCTGAAGCTTTCGCTAGAAAATGAAGGAAATGAGGCTGCGGCCTAGGTTTTGGAGGGGGGTCGCGCACCAGGGGTCTCAACAATAATATTTCTTTAGAAGTAATAATGTTCAACAACAACAGCAGCAGCAGCAGCAGCAGCAGCAACAACAACAACAACAACAACAACAACAACAACAACAACAACACACAACAACAACAACAAAACAACAACAGCAGCAGCAGCAGCAGCAGCAACAACAACAACAACAACAACAACAACAACACCAACACCAACAACAACAACAACAACAACAACAACAACAACAACAACAACAACAGCAACAGCAACAGCAACAGCAACAACAACAGCAGCAGCAACAACAACAACAACCCCTCTCCCATCCCAACCAAAAAACAAATCAAAACCTTGAAAACAAACAAACAAAAAAGACGCCCCCTTCGATTTCTCTGAACCCGCCACCCAGGCATCCGACGATATGATTTCTTCAACCTGGGCGTTCTTCCCGATTTCGGCATGTGGGGCCAGCCATCGCACCCCGGGGCCACTAAAACTGGATCTGGGGCGCAAAACTACCCCCGGGGAACGGGTCGGGAGCTCTGGGGCCGTGGGCTGAAAAACCAGATCGGGTGACGTCAGGGAGCTCAGCCCCCTCCCCACCACTCCTCTCGGGCCTTTGAACGCTCTTGGCCTTCCTTGTCCTGGGCCAGAGGCCATCGGAAGCCTCCAGGGGGCCCTCCGCGGGGGCCCCTCCGCGAAGACCCCTCTTGAGACCCCCCCCTGGATACCTCTGGGAAACCTCCGGGGTTCGAGGTTCGAGGCTTATGCACGTTTCTGGGCCTTTCTGCACGGCCGCGCTTCACCTTCGAGGTTCTCGTCGGAACGCGCCCCTGGAGGTCCCTGGGGCCGAAGAGCAGAGGCCTCTTGAGACGAGGGGGGGGGGGCCGAAGTGAGCGGCCTTCTGGAAAAGCACGGGGGCTCTTGCAAGGTTCTGGGAGTCTTCTGCACGGGCCTGGGCAGGAGGGCTTCTGAGAGGCCGGGTGCCTTCTTGGAGGCTGGGCCCCCCATCGCTGTGCCCCGCCCTGCGCGCCGCCGACTGGCTCCGGGCGCGGCGCGGTGCTGGCCAGAGGGGCTCGGAGGGCAGGGCCGCTCCAAATCTCGGGGAGGGCCCGCGGACGACTGGGCTCCGTGAGGGCGCTCTGGGGCGCTGGGGCCCCGCAGGTTCGGGCGGCGCTGGGGCCCCGCAGGTTCGGGCGTTGCTGGAAGTGCCCCTGGCCCCTGGCCCAAGGTGCCCCCAAGGATGTCCAAGGAGGCCCCCATGGCCTCCAGAGCACCCCTCACGGGGCACAGAAGGCCCCAGGGGCTCCAAAATTGAGCGGAAAGCTGGGGGCTCCTTGGGCAAGGGGCACCTTGAGCAACCCCCGACAGGTGAATGCGGGTGCGCCTGGCAAGCCCGGACAACGGCACAGGGGCTGCGATGATCGATGCCAACGTAACTTGAAACCAAATCTAAAAAACGAAACGACGCAGCGCCAGGCTGGTCGAATGCTGCACAAGTCTTCCCACTGTTGATACGTCACAATCGCCGTGACCATAACAGCAAGCTGGACAATGATGACAGTGCCGTGTCGATGAGATCACTCAGAGGTGGCACTGTAGTAAATGCTAAATACAAGACGGTAAATTTTCCGATCGCCTCTACTGCCCCCCGAGCAAGCAGGACTGGTGAACCTGACGACGGCTCATTACCACCTGTCAGAGCACGCGCGTGGCGGTAGGCCAGACTGCCACGACATGCACGTACACGGTTGGCCTGCGTGTAATATGGGCTGGGCAACCCCTAGGCACGCCCGTCGCCCCCCTCGCCGCCACTCCTGGGCATCGTTTAACCGATCCCCATCCCCACTGGCAAGGCCTTGGCCCCATTAGCCGATTTAACCCTCCTGGGCGAGGATATGTGTTCTACGGCCTTGGAATGGCTTCAAAGGTGCCCAGAGTTCCACGGGCATCTTCAAAGGATGGAGGGGAAGGGAGGAGGAAGAGGAGAGAGGAGTGAGGAGGAAGGGGGAAGGGAGGAAGGAAAGAGGAGGATGGAGAAGGAGGGAGGAGGAAAGGGGGGTGGTAAGCTAGGTGCGCGAGCGCCACATCTGACATCCTATCCCTCCCTCCCATCCCTTCCCATTGCGCTGATGTTTCTCTATCCGCGGACGCATGTCATTGCCGACCTGGAACTCCATTACCCTTGCAACGAAAGACCTGTGCGACCTGTGGGGCAGGTGCGATCTGTGTGACCTGCGGTGGGAACTATGGGAACTGTGGGACCTGCGGGACTTGTGGGACCTGTGCGGCCTGGGGGACCTCGTCAGCCTGTAGGGTCTGCGAAACCTGCGACGCATGTGGGACCCGTGGGGCATGTGGGAACTGCGGGTCCTGCGTGACCTGCGAGACCTGTGGGACACGTGGGACCAGCGGAACCTGCGGGACCTGGGGGACCTGGAGGGCCTCCGTGGGACCTGTGAGACCGGCGACATCTGTGATACCTGTGGGACCTGCGGGACTTGTCGGACCTGTGGGACCCTTGGAAGTGAAACCTACGACACCTGTGGGACCTGTGGGATCTGTGGAACCTGTCAGACCTGTGGTACTTGTGGGACCTGTGGGACCTCTGTGGGACCTTTGTGGGACCACTGGGACGACCTGCGACACCTGGAAATCATGTGCGACGCGTGTGGGACCTGTGGGACCTGCGATATCTGCGAGACGTGGAACCCGCGAGGCCTGTGGGATCCAGAAAGATGGCCCACGCTGGGGCGAGAGTGCCATTCTGAACGACGGGAGCAAAGCGCCGATCCGAAAAGGAGGCCCACGCTGCAGCGGGAGAACCATTTTGAGAAACCAAAAAAACAAAGTTCAACAAACAAGAGACATATCACTGTTGAAATCCTGTGTGAAAACAATACGCGGAGAAGGCGGGATATCTTCCGCACAACGTCAGAGGAGACATTGGTCACCCCTTATACCTTGTGAGGAGCGTGATGGTGCATTGGGCAACTGACTAGCTCACCCTTCCCTCTTTGTGCACAGTCCTTTTCTGGCATGCTGGCCGCCGCATGTTTCACGCGTCGCACTCACGCAGATCAGTGGCGCATGCAGAACAAGCATCGCCTTAGTGCGGACGACTCTGGGAAACCTGGATGCCACTGCGCTGGCCAATCTCGTGTAATCAACTGGTGATTCCTTTTGCGTGGGGCGGGGGGGGCACTTCGCCATGCTGCGTCAGGCTCTAGAGGCTCCGTAAAGGGCTAGCCTGCAGAATACCGGTCGCGGCACCATCGAATATGCCGAGAACACGGAAAGGCGCGAGGCTACACTTTCCTTCTGCCGATATTCCGCCGACTGGGCCACCTTCATTTCATTCCTGCTGGCTTCGAGGTGGGGGTGGCAAGGGAGGCGGAGAAGGCGGAGGAGGAAGGGGGAGAAGGCGGAGGAGGAAGGAGGAGGAGGAGGAGGAGGAGATGGAGGAGATGGAGGAGGGGGGGGTGGAGGAGGAAAAGGAGGAGAGGGAGGAGAAAGCGGAGGAAGAGGAGGAAAAGGAGGAGATTGAGGAGATTGAGGAGGAGGAGGAGGAGGAGGAGGAGGAGGAGGACGACGACGACGACGACGACGACATCGGCAGGCGGTCCTTCCCATCTGGGCAGTGGGGAGCACCGACAAGTCCACCCTGCCGCGCGACGACCCCAGCACCGCACCCCTGCGGCTGCCGCCGAACCTGGCGGCGGAAAACCAGACGAGGGCGGTGGCGAGGGCGGGAATGGATGGATGGTCGAGGGAGAGGAGGGGAGAGGAGGAGAGGCTGCAGGGCTGACACAGGGGGGCGGAAGAAAGGCTACGTATTCGACCATGGAACCCCTTGTTACCCACCGGCCCTGGGCGGTATTGGGTGGTTTTCGGCGGGTTTCTGGCGGTCTTCGGCGGTCTTCTGACGGTCGTCGGTGGCTTTCGGCGGTTTCTGGCTGTTTTCGGAAGAACGGAACAGGAAAGAGGAGGGGCAGGAGGGAAATTTGAGTAAACCCAAGATGTATCAACGATGCCGCAATAAATCCTCCTCCTCTTCCTCTGCCTCCTCCTCCGCCTCCTCCTCCTCCTCCGCCTCCTTTTTTTTTGACAGCAACGCACATGCCCCTGAAGTGAAAGTGACCTGCCAACATCAGCCAAAGGCGCACTGGATGGGCAGGCTGGAATTACCCGTAAACTAGAACAGTGTGATGAATTCGTCGATGTCGACGGAAACACCCTCCCTATCAGGGTGTAGGCCTTTACGGAGCCGGCGCATGTTCTCCACGCCCGTCACCGTTGGGGGGCCGCATTTACGGCCGAGGCCCAAAACCTGACCTCCACTGCTACAGAACTTGCACGACATGCACAAGAACAGGTGGCCACCATCACTGCAAGGGAAGGCAATGACTCGGCGGCCCAGTCCCTCCAACGGTCCCTGGTCCAAATGAGACTGCCCAGGGCACGGACCTCCAAAAGGCTTGGACAAAGCCCGAGACCCACGGAGGCACACACGACAACGCCAACACGAGCTCTAAAACAGGAGCAACTGGGGCTGAAGGCGGCGGGGATAGCTCCAGGCCCCTGAACTCAAGTTTTGGCCAAAGTGGCAAGAGCTCAGCTCCCGCAAGCAGAATATCTCGCGAGGCCCTAGTCGGATGATTTAAAACTTCAATCTCAGCTGGAGACATGCCAGGGCGCCTACAGCCCCTTCTTTAGCAGAAACACCACCATAGAAGTTCCCTCAGCGCAGGAATCTCACACGCGCCGAGAGCCCTTCCCCGTCAATGTCGACGCGGGCGTCAACCTTAGAGATCGAAACAAGATTGCGCCCGAAAAAATGTCTCGCTTGGACGATCCGGCCTGCACATTGACGCTTCGCAGTGATATCACCGGCAAGTCCGAGATTCATCAGCAGAACTACATTGCGACAATCGGAATAACAGAGGGCAGGGCCTCCGTTTTGAACAGAGGCCCAGGCAAGGGCCCTAGACTCCGCACCTTGGGGGGTCTGAGGCGACGGAGCCCAAGAGGACCTTTTAAAATCCCGAGGCGCTCGCCCGAACTAGACACCAGACTCACTGCCCAACCAGCCCGAGACATATCCCGAACAATGTTCCCACGGCAAGAGCCGCCCATGGAAAGGTGCCCCCAGAGCCCAGTGGAAGGAGGAATGAAGGGGGCAGCAGCAGGATCGGCAGGGCCGGGAAGGGCATCCGCAAACCATTCCAGACTCGTACCTCCACCAGTGAGTGGCGGAGGGGCATAGTCACCAGGGCGCCTGAAAGCTTCATGAAGGCACAAGCACATGTCCATATGGTTGTCGCCTAGCTCGAGCGCTTCCTCCTGAATACTACTGTCCAGCGCCGCGCCTCTAACATCCTGCGCGCACGGGCACACATGCAACCTGTGGAACAACGCGTCGCGGGCCGTGCCGCGCAACACGCACATGTCGCTAAACTCGCAGCCTGCTGCCACGACGTCGCTCGCCGCCCAGCAGGCCTCGGCGGCCTGAGCTCGAATCTAACCTTTCGTTTCCCCCGAGACCTTCCTGGAGAACAGGAGCTGTTTGACCACATCCCGGCACAAGCGAAAATCACATCCACGCTTGTCCCCAGAATCCCTTTCCAGCCCTCTCAAAACCGCTTCCTTGCAAAAAAAATGGACCAGCTTGGGGGGCGAAAGGGCAGGGGAAATCGCACGGCAGAAACCCTCGACAATCGTGTAACAGTTCGGCATGGCCCAGCCAACCAAGCCTGTAAAGCGACATCATGAGCACAGAGATCGGCCCCGAGACCGAGGCCAAAGAATGCGTGTCCGAGGAAAAAAACCGCTTGCCACCCTTCTCGAAGCTCGGCCCAGCTAATGGTCCAGGGGAAAGCATTCGCATGCAGGGTCCAGACCTCCTTGGCCCACCTGATGATGGGGGGCGCAGCTCCCGCGCCACGTGGGATCACCCGAGGGAAGGCACATGACGCCAAGAGATCTTCACTGAGCTTTTGGCTTCACAGTGCACGTGGCCATACGCCAGGGGTCGAGCAGCTCTTGGCCCGAAACCCCGTACAAATCCGAGCCATAAATGCCCCTAGGAAAGGGGCACAGCCGCAAAAACAAACGCAGGCACTTGCGCCCGAAGGCCTCGGCGAGGCCCCTCAGACGCACGTTTGTTTCTCAACGCCGCCACAGCACGAGCCTTCAGCTTGGCCGATCGGCCCTTGCATCTCAGCGCTTTGCCCGAGGCGAAGTCCGAACCGAGATTGGTAGCCCGAGAGCAAGCTGGACCGACCAGGGGGCCTAACTCGAGTTAAACGCTTCGAAACATCAAGAGAATTAAAGGCCATACCAACTCTATCCATCGCCCGCTTGCACTCGAGCGTGCCCGCGATGACTTGGCGGGGCGCGTTGGCTCCAGCGGCGAGGGCAGCAACGACCACCTTGGCTGCTCCAGCGCAGCTAAGGCTCAGGTCGCCCACGTAGGCGTCGAAGTCAATACTCTTGCCAGGGGCCCTGGGGATTTGAGTAAGGGCCTGATCAAGAACCTCCATCAAAAAAAGAGCGAAGCTAATCGCAAAAGAGCAACCAGCCACCAGGCCCTCGGACACAAAAAAAAGCCCATGGATAATGCCCCTCAACGCAAGGAACCCGGCACAAGAGCGCGCCTGAATAACCAAACGCGCAAGCGGAAGCGGGAATTAATGCTTCTGGCACTGGCGCCAGAGAAAACTGAGGTCAACGTGCTCATAATACTTCCGAAGGTCTCAGAAAATGGCAGCCGAGGCATCTCCTCGACGGGCCCCCGCTTCGGCCCTACAGGCCTGCCCCCAGACGACATCCCCCGCACCCCTGTTGGCCCCCGCAGCCCAATATCTACGGGAATACTTCAGTTCCCAATACAGGGCCTCGCGTCTACGGGCTGGGGAACACCCCCATGGGTCGGAACCCCCCCGCAGGCTTGACCAGAAGGGCCACGAGGACCCAAGACAGCCGGCGGGGCGAGGCCCCCGCGGCCCCCACACCGCACACCACCAGGCAAGGGCACGCAAAGCATCATTGGGGGGAAGACAGAAATGACGGCAATGAAAGCCGTCGATGCCGACAGCAGAGGCCGAACAACACCTCGTAGAAACAGCTCGAATCCCCGCGGGCCCCAACACGCGAGCACACGGGAGAAGGTCGCGTCCAACCCCCCCCCCCCCCCCCCCCCCCCGAGCCCAAGCCCCAAATGGACGCGAATGCGTCGCCCCCCGTTCGAAGCGAGGAGACTGGGTCGCAAACTATCGCCCCACATCTAGACAAGGTGGTAGTCGGCTTCCATGGCTCGGGACATATGGTAGCCTTTTGAGCGTTGCGACCGCCAGCATCGATGCCCACTCTCGCCCACTCGCGCCACTCTTTCCGCGACCCCGACGCGTCGGTGGCCCTGGCCGCGGAGACAGCGAGCGCAACCTGAGCGATCAGGTCGCCCAGATCCGAGAGAAGCTCAGGATCGCAATCAGGCAGCAGGGCGCATCCAGCTACGGCCGCGCCAACTCTGAAGAAAAGGAAAAAGCCCATGCCTTCTTTCACCGTCACGGCCTCTGGAGCTGGGTGATCGAGTTGAGTACCTGACGCCCAGCCCCCTGCAAGACCGATTCAGAGAGGTAGCACCTAACTGCTCGCAACTGGTTACACAACCAGCGGATAGAACGCAAGCCTGGCTGCTTCTCTCTGCCAGCAGACTTTATTAAGACAGATGCCCGGTGCACTTGAGACCGCCTGCCACGCATCCCCCGGATTTTTTAAAGTCGGACCCCAGGACAAGAACAAGGTCCCTCTCAGCAGGGCCCGCCCAGACCTTATAGCCAGGATTGGGCCGTCTACGGGCTTCGATCCCATCCCCAGCCTCCACCGCCTCAAAAGCTTCTTCGGCCCAGTCCAGCGCGGCGGTCCAGGGCCCAGGCCGAAGGGCAGGACCAACAGGCGACAAAACAGGCAACGAAGGGGGCAGGCGGAAGGAGAGGGCCTTGAGATCTCCGAGGGAGCTGCGAAAGCGGAGCGACGCAGGGCGGCGAGGGGCGATGCTCGAACCGTCTTCAACTCCGACTTGTTTCAAGCAAAAGCTCAGGGCCTCCGAAACCACAAAACAATCAAAACGATCAGGCGCCCCCCAACTCGGAAGGCGCGCGCGCCCTTCGGGCGCAATCAGCGAGGCACGGAGACGACGACAATGCCCGAGGATTCCAGGACCTCGGGGCCCATGTTCCAGTCAGCCCCCACAATGAACTCACAGACTACAGAATCTAAAAACTCCCCCACAACACGCACAATCTCAATATTAGTGCCAGAGAAACCGTCACTGCGGACGAGGTAGAAGCTGCAGATGCACATCGGGGCACAACCTGGCAAGTGCACCATGGTAGCCACAGCTATGCCAGCACATAAGGCAACGCGACCCCCAGCTTCAAAAAGGCAAAGGCCATCACGTACACACACGCGAACTCCCGGAGAAACACCTTCTCCACCTCCAGGTACTCCAGGAGCCTACAGAGTCCTCCAGGCCAGGAACTTCGACGATTTCGAGGCCTGGCCCAGAGCCCCTGCATCCAGCAAACGAAGCTCCTGAGCAATGACCACGCGGGACCTCGAGGTGGTGAGGTAGGACTTGAAGGTGCCCCAAGTGTGGGCGTTGACCGCGGTGACCAGGAGCCCCTCGTCTAGCCTGGTCGCGCAGTCAGCGACCGCCCCCCGGGCAGCTTCGAGCTGAGGCCGCCGGCAGACCGTCCGAGACAGAACGCGTACAGGACCAGGCCCTTACCGGGCTCGCACCAGAAAAAAAAACATCTGATTGCGGCAAGCGCGCGACTGGATCCCCCACCATCGGGGCCCCACCAGCGTTCACAACGGGCGGCCCCCCGACCGCGCCAGGCAGGGGCAGAGAGGAGATGCGAACGGCTCCTCGGCTTCCCGGGGGCACCCGAATTTCAGAAGGCAAAAGAAGGGCATCAGAAGAGACTCCAGCAGCCTCGCGGCCGAAGGCACTCTTGAGGCGCCGAAACAAACGAATCCCCGAGGCCAGGGACCTAGAGCCATTCACGGACACTCCCGCGGCTAGATTTTGTATACATGCATAAATATATACACATATATACAATAACCCCCAAAAAACACAACCACCACAAAAACAACAAAAAAGAAATGAATAATATATATATATATATATATATATATATATATATATATATATATATATATATATACATACATATACATATACATATACCATATACATATACATATACATATAATTATATATATATATATATTTATATATGTGTCCCCTTTCCCCGTCTCTCTCCTTTTTACTCCTCTCACCAGAGGTTTTGTGCTACAGGGGGGCTGCCAGCGGAGACCCCCCCCATGTCCTCCGGGGACTCCGAAGCCTGGCCAGGGGCGGCAGCGCGACGCGAGTCCGACCCCTCGGAGTTGACCGGGAGCGGCAGCGCGACGCGAGTCCGAACCCCCTCGGGTGAGGGCGGCAGCGCTCGACGCGAGTCCGAACCCCCCCCGGGACCCCTTTCCCCGGCACTCCTGCTGGGATGGCGTCAGCACATCCTCAGATGGCTCGCAATCGGCACATCTTTTAGCCAACTCGGCTTGGGCAGGGTTACAGGGCGGGGCCGAGGCGGCTACGGAGAGGCGGTTTAGAGGAGATCGTTTCGAGGACGGAGGGGGGACGAGATAAAACCCATGAGAATCTCAAGGATATTTATCTCTGTGTCCCCTTTCCCCGTCTCTCTCCTTTTTACTCCTCTCACCAGAGGTTTTGTGCTACAGGGGGGCTGCCAGCGGAGACCCCCCCCATGTCCTCCGGGGACTCCGAAGCCTGGCCAGGGGCGGCAGCGCGACGCGAGTCCGACCCCTCGGAGTTGACCGGGAGCGGCAGCGCGACGCGAGTCCGAACCCCCTCGGGTGAGGGCGGCAGCGCTCGACGCGAGCCCGAACCCCCCCCGGGACCCCTTTCCATGCACCCCTTTCTGGTTAACCGCCATTAATCCCCAGGGACGGGTGGGAGGGTCAGGAAAATGCTGACAGCGAAGCTGCTCAGATATTTTGCTCCTTCTTTTCATCTCAACCCACATCAAAGTTAAGAGCACTCGCCAGTACACGAAATCGTTCCAATTCTGCAGGCAAGAAATCGTTCTGCAGCAAAGTTTGCACACCGTCACTGATGTACAGTCTGGCCACAGCTGTGTCTTGCCATCTCCCCACTATCAAAGTCAAGCCCATGTTCTCGAACCTTCTGTAATGAGTGGTGGCACCTCCACGGCGTAAAGAATATATCTGATAACCGTGCCGCTCGAGGTTCAATGACCTCAAGAGAGCTTTGAACACATCACGAAATTCGGGCACGGTGCCCTGCAGCAACGAGCTCTCAGGCGGCAAATGCTGAGTGAGCACTTTGATGAAGTGAACAATCCTGGCGTCGTGGAGTGTGACGGACTCCTCACAGTGTCGTCTCTTGCCTGCCTTGGTCACTGGCAGGGCTATGACAAGGCTGAGGCCGTCGTTGCTGAACTGCAGCTGCCACTTACGGAGAGTAAGAAGCTCCATTGTACGCAAGAATACGGAGTAGCCAATCACAAGCAGCACCGCTATGTCATTTCGACTCCAGGATCGAGCCACCGTGGCAAGTGACATCAGCACATATTCTGGCATGGGTGGTGCTCTTTGTGGCATCTCAGTCCGTTGCCAAGCCTTCAGCAGGTTCCACGCACTGTGAAAGACTCTCTTGCGTCGCAAGAAAAACTGTACGCCAGACAAGGTGGCCCCAGCATCTCCAGCAGGCCTCCCATGCGCCCATAGCGTCTCTATCCATTCACATAATTGGAAGTCGAGCTGCTCCAGGTCAGTGGCCACGTCGATACCATGGGCACGAATCCAAGAGACAAAGCTTTGCACCATCTGACCATATCTGCGAAACGTACGAGGTTGAACTAGTGTGTGTGATAATCTGCCAATCGCGCGTCGCACCCGAATGCGGGACACCAAGTCTATCTCATAGTCAATGCGACGCTTCCTTGGCATTGCTGTCACCTGACATGCCGCCTTCCCTCGAAGGGTCGTCGGCTGGGTTCTTGTCGGTCTCGGTGTACCCGTAGATCGGTCTTGCCGACGCCGCCAGGACCAGAGCTGAGATCCTCTTGACGGCTGCGTTGAGCAGATGCGAGGAGGAGCGCCCCCGCGATATCACACCAAGTCCAACCTGCGAATCCATCAGATGAGCGAACCTCGTGCCAAGCTGATGGCCCACTCTGAAGCGCCAGCGAAGGCCTGCCAGCGTGCTCAGCACTTCCAGCGCCGTGATGTGGCTCTTCCACCTCCACTTCCAGACCAGCACTGTCTTCCACGTCCAGCGGCTCACGCTGATCGGGCGGCGTGGCCACAAGTCAGGGCGCATGACCTCCAGCGTGTCGAGGCGCACGTCCGAGCCCCTCACCTCAGCTCGCCGGATCAGCTCCTCCACGATCTGGATGCTCGGGTCCGCCTGCGCCTCGGCCTCTTCAAGGCCACGGTCCCTGATCACCACCCCGCTGTCGTCGCCCTCCTTGGCTACCTGCACCAGGCCCTCGGCAGCGTCGAAGGCGCCTCCGACCGCGCGCGCCTCCGCCATCGTGGGGACCGAGTCCAGGTAGCCGTGTCGGTGAGCCCAGTGCGCCACTATCCATGCCACCACGCCGCACTGGAACGAGTTGCCCAGCAGGGCGCAACGTACCACCTCGAGCTCAGCCAGCTTGCGGAACCGCGTGGCCCGCGCTGTCGCCGTGTGCCCAGGTGGGAAGTCCATCAACATCTCTCTCTCAAAGGAATCCGCAGGCTCCAGCGCACCTCCTTGCCATCGCAGACAGTGAGGATCTCGAAACTGGTACGGCGCATAGCAGAAGTCGTGCCTCCGCCAACGCTCCAGCTCGGCCTCGCTGCACTGGTGCAGGCCCTTTGGCTTGTCGCCGGCACGCCCGCGCGGGATGCACCTCACGAAGGTGGGCAGACGCTGCTCAGGAACCTCGGCTCCTGACCACTCTCGCCCAGGGCGCAGCCAGCGGCCCAGCGGGCCTGGACCTCCAGGGATCGTCACTTTCACCACCTCACTTTTCACACAGACTTCGCCCTGCCACGGCGTCATGAGGTCGGTGTCACACCAGTAGAGCCTCTCTCGGCGAACGTGTGAGATGTCGGCGGCATCGATCATCACCGGGGCCAGCCCCATGTGCTCTGACATCGTGTCGCGATCCTCGGCCGTCATGGAGGACACATTCTCGATCAAGTCGAACACCTCGACCTCCACGGGGAACACCTCCTTCACCAGCGACTTCACCCGCTTGATCTCGTAGAAAAGGCCCGACCTCGCTCCTGACAGCCCTCGCCTGTCGACGCTCAGCCTGGTGAGGTCCACGCAGGGAGCTCCAGCAAACAGGAGGACCCAGCGCACATGAGGGGCCCTGTCTCGGATCTTGGCGATGTCCTGCGCGCTCAGCTTCGTGACGTCGCCCAGCTCCACCACGTCCGGCCACGCGTACTTCACCACGCGGCAGGCCTCTGGGTCCGTCTCCGACGCAGCATACACGGCCACGCTCAGCCCCAGCATGTCGAGGGCCCGTCTTCCACCTCCGATCCCGTCGAAGAGCGACAGCAGCACGCCCTCGTCCTGCAGCCGCCCCACCTGGCGCCTGCGAGAAGCCTTGGCTGCCTCAACGCCGTGTGGGAGCAGGCGCACAGCCCGGCATACCGCCCCCTTGCGCATGCTGGCGTCGGACACGGTCACGAGCCCGCTCACGGGCGTCCTGAGGTCGCACCTCATGAGCGGCAGGAGCCCCACGGCCAGCAGCAGCTCCCTCTGAACGGGAGCGGGCAGCCTGCGCTCGCCTCTCCAGCGCACCACGGCGCGCCACAGGTCGTCGAACACGGACATCGTCTCACGCCTGAACATCATCGCTCGCACCCAGCGGCCCGCCACCACCTGCAGCCAAGTCTGAGTCAGCACATTCCGATCCAGCGTGGCGAAGGTGAGGCCCAGCAGACGGTACACGAACTCCAGGGGCGGGCTGATCACGCCCCTCGTGCCGTCAATGAGCTCACCCAAAACTTGACTGACAGGCTCACGGCACACTGCCTTATCCTCGCTCCTGGGCACCCCCCGCTGCGCGTACCTCTCGCAAGCCAGCTGCACCACCTCGGGGGGGCCCTGTGCCTTCAGCGCCGCCGCGGAGACCTCGTCGGTAACCTCCAGCACGTCAAGGTTGTCGATGTACACCTGCCACACCACCCAGCAGGCCGTACCAGCACCCTCCGGTATGAGCGTGTCATCTCCTCTCGTCGCCTTCGGCACCGTCTCCGCCCACATCTTGACCAGCACGTCCCCGTGGCAGCGCTGCCCTCGCCTGCAGTGGCACAGGAGGCGACAGCCCGAGAGCTCGGGCAAGCAGGCCAGCAGATCGGGCGAGTCGCGCAGGTGGCTCTCGTAATTCGCGATGGCCTCGCTCCTCGGCATCATCTTTGACACCTTGAAGGGGTTCGCCCACTTGGATGGGGAGAAGCCATACCGCTGCCCTGTGCGACCGATGTACACCTGTGGGCGCTCGTCGCTGTAGGATCGGCCCAGCTCGCCTCGCACCGGCAGCCTCGCCTCGCCCTGAGAGACCACCGAGCCTCTCTCACGATGTGGAGGCAGAGGAAGGTCGCGCCGCAATTCACGGTCCTCAGGCAGCGGAGGCACTCCCTCCAGCCACTCACGAAGCAGCCGCCGGTGGATGTGCTGGATGATGCCTGTCGCCGACACCCAGCCCATTGGGATCACGGCCGCGGCCACGTGCACCTCGCCGGTCCCGTCAAGACCGAGGCAGGACCTGCTCACCTTCTTGGAGAGCGCCATGTACTTGTGCCACACCGCGGGCAACCGGTACACGTAGAAGCAGCACTTGAGGTCCTCCGACGAGCTCATCATCACCTCGCCGCTCCTCAGGATGATGCTCTTCCACTTGTCTGTCGTCGGGAGGAGACCCATGTCCCCCTGGACCGTCTCCTGCAACCAGTTGCTCGGGATGATGTTCATCACTAGCCGCTGCGGCCCCGAGCCTTTGACGTGTCCCGACTTTCGTACACCAAAGAGGCCGCCCAGCACGCGACGGCCCTTGACCTTCACGATCTCGTCGGCCTCGATCGGGACGAGGATGCCCCTGTTCACGAGCTCGGCCGCGATGAGCTCCCACTCGTCATCCTCGGCCCAGACGCGCGGGGTCTTGGGCATCTCGCCCAGCTCCGCGGGGCTCTTCATCACCCACTCCGGGTGCTCCAGCACGCTCCTGATCCAGCCTTCGCTCACCTCGGTCGCCAATACCGAGCCGCAAGCCTCCTTCGACGGCAGGGCGAGCAAGAGGCGCTCGCGGTCTAGCTGCTCGGCTGGGTACACCTCCATGCCCGTGTAGCTCACTGCCGACGACTTCAGCTCCTGGGTCCAGTCGAGGTTCGCCACGGAGCCCTCGTACTGGCATAGGAACGTGCCCACACTCCTGGCCAGCAACCTCAGGGCCTTCAGCTGCACCGCGCTGGCGGGCCCGTGCCTTACCTTCCAGGGGGCCATCTTGAGACCAGGATGCTTGCCCCCCAGCGCGTACTGGAAGTTCAGGCTCAGGACAGTGAGCTTCAGCCAGCCGTTCAGGTCGTCCTCGAAGGAGGGATCGACTGGCTCCGATTCGCCGAACACAACGCCGTTCATGCTCAACTCCTCGATCGTCAGATCGACGCAGGGCAACGGCAGCAGGTCACGCCGTCCGTTCCCTGCGGTCAGTGGTGAGAGGATATCATCGTACGATTTCGTATCAAAATTGCCAAGTGCCCCGCTCGACGCGGGCGAAGAAGTACTGAGGTCAGCTAGACGGCGTCCCACAACACGAACTGGAGCTCCACAGAGACTGCCCAGCTCACTGGCGGCACGCGTCGGGTTCAAGTAAGGAAAGTCGTGAATTCGCGTGGACGGCTCGTCCGAGACTGCGCCATGAGCGGCGCCGTTGCACTCATCCTCAAGGTACGAGGAGAAGGTGATCTCGGACTCCCAGCTGCCGTCGGACGTGCAGTCACACGCCTCTCGAGTGCCCTCGAAGCTCATGCATTCTACTTCCGATTCTTGTTGGACCTCTTGCCCTGGCCCTTGTCCTTGCCCTTGCCACGGGCCTGACCCTTCGTGCCGCCCTTGCCCTTCGGGTTCCACGAGCGCCAAGGTGGCGTCCCGCGGTGCTGCCCTTTGTCGCCCTTCGGCTTGCCCTTGTTGCCAGCCTTCGCCTCCGCGGTCACGTCGTCCGCGAACCTCACGCGACGAACAGGGCTCGAGGGTCTCCGAAGGGCCGGCTTGCGATCCACTCCAGGGCTGATCGAGCCAGGTGCTGGCCGCCAGTGGGGCGACGGGCTTCTCGGGCTCCCCGATCTCTCGCCAGCACCTGTCCCGGCTGCCGGGCTCGGCGACGCTCTCTTCACTGCCTCGCCAGCGTCCCCTCGACCGCGACCTCGCCCTCGGCCGCGTCCACGCCAGAGCTTCGCCCTCCACCTGTCCTTCCTCGATCCGGGCGTCGGCGCACCCTTCTCCCCCTGTGCTCCAGGACTCGATGTCTGTGGGGGCGGCGTCGCGGGAGAGGGCGTCCTGGTGCGCCCGCCCTCTCCCTCGCCGAATCCCTAGGGGGGCCTCCTCGCGCCCGCTCGAGCGAGGCGCTCCTTCAACTTCGCACCCTCCGAGTAGGATGCCACGGCCGCCGACACCTCGGCGCTGCTGGCCAGCCCGATGTCGGTGGAGTCGATCAGCTCGAGGTGCTCGGCTATCTTCCAGTGCCCGTCCTTGGTGGCCTGCTCGATGGCCTTCAGCCTCTGCATGAGCATGTCGCCCAGCTGCGGCAGATCGCCCCTCGTGAGGGCGTCCA